CTAATTCCTGCTGCAAAATGTGATGTGGTAACTAAAAAATCCACCTCTAACCTCACACGTTTCATCAAATGTGCCAAAGCATCACAACTGTCAAGATGTGCTTTGTGGAGTCACCTACATGACAACACTTCCTTAGCTCAGTTTTGAATCTAGTAATGAATTGTCAGTGTTTGCACACATCATCCCATCAGTTTGCATCATCCCACCAGTACTGTGTATCAGGTTTGCACCAGAACATTCCAACAATGCAGCCCAATATCCAGCATGCTTATAAATAAAGAGCACTCTTCACCTAAATAGTAGGCAAAATGAGGCACTTCTGGACTAAGAGGGAGAGAGACTTTAAGGCAGAAGTGATCAAAAAAACAGGGCTGAAAAAAATGTCATTCTGCTATAAACAGGAGTATTATTATTAGAAATTTTTACCAAGAACTGAGATTTTTTTCCATTGCACTAATGTTAAAAATGTCTCAATATTGTCAGAGTATTATACTGTTTTTTCCTGAATAAACATCTGCAAGTAAAAATCTTCAGCATTAAAACTGGGGGAAAACACCTAATATGCAGAGTTTTCTCCTTTTCTCTTACCTGTGGAGATTTCACATTTTTTATGCAGTCTAATATGAAGCTAAAATATGATGAGGTGTAAATGAACATACCTTACTTTGGCTCCAATAGGTAGATGTAAATAAAACACTGGAAGGCCACTTTTGAGTTGAGTTGAAATCATGTTATATTCCTGATATGCATTGAAAGGTGTTATGAGAAGTGCATGAGAGTTTTATTTCTTTGTGTATGAGAAGCTGATAAACAGAGCTGGTGCACAATAAAGCAATATACACAATATATGAAATGCTTTAAATCATCCAGCAAGGACAAATCCCTGCCTGATCTAGACAGCCAGGGTTCCACTGGAACACTCCATAGGACATTGCGTGTTAGTATAACCTGGCAGCAGCTCCTGCATAAAACCTGAAACGTGGCAGGGAGGCAGAATTGCTTCCAGGGCCTTCCAAAATTGGAACCAAGCTTTTTGCCCCATGTCATGACTGAATTCAATCACAGGAAATCAAAATTCCTTTTTTGGGTCTGTAACAAACACAAAATGTAGCAACCTCAGAACCACCTCCTTTAGGATTTTTCTGTTCATTTAGAGCAGCACCATGAGAACTTTGTCACAGGGACTATTGGCTGTCAGTGAGCTGCAGCATGAGGGGGGGACTTCTCCCCACAGTTTGAGATGAGGATTAGGAGAATTTTCTCTGGGGAAAAGAAAATTACTTTAATTAATTTAATATGGTTTCAAGGTAAAAAGAGATGGAGATAAAGAAATACCTTTTAGGATAAGAAAGAAGAAGAAGAAGAAAGAAGCAGTGAGAGGAAAAAAATTAGACAAGTGGCAGCCCATAGCCAAGCAAAATTTAGTCTAGAATGGTGCAGTGGCTGAACACCCCAGGCTTGGGAAACCTTGTCAGTCAGGAAGAGAACTGATCTGACTGTTTTTTGAGGAATGACAGAAAAGCCAGTTGCTCAAAAAGTGTGATATTGCCACTTTCTATCTCAGTTCCTATGAAGAAAGCAGTTGGGCTTTTTATGAGATTTCTCTTTGTTAGCTATAGCTCACTTGCTACTGAATAAAAATCATAAGAGGTGTGGGGACCAAAAAACGGCTAATACAAAACTCCATAAAATAATTGAACTTCAGACCTACCCAATGCTGACATCAAGTGTGTAAAAGTCATTGATAGTTCTCTGTCTCATGGGAAACAGAGATTGATGAAACACAGCTGTGTTCACAGCAATTGATGGCATACATCATCATTTCCACAGTATTCACATTAAATTACTTAGCAGCTATAGTGCCAGCATAGATTATGGGATAACCCAGTTCTTTCTTTTAATCTCAGGCATCTGGAATTTCAGGGTCAGAGGAACCTTTCTTCCTTCCCCCTTATTTTTTTTTCAAGTCAAGATAGATAAAGTAGTAATACCAAAGGCATGAGAATACCAAGTCTCCTCTAAGCAATATTTATTCACATTGCATTCAAAAATAACTTTTAGAGTAATCCTAAATTTTAATATATAATAATATCCAACTGCAGGAGCACAGGAAAAGGGAGAGAAGCTTAGACTAACAAGAAGTTCAAAAAACATCCTGTAAAAGTATTGGCAATGCAGCATCCTTCTATATGAACCACAGCTGTGCTACTTGCCTATTTTCATTGCATTAGCAGAGCCAGGAGCCTCATACTCCCAGACAATCAGCTGAAGTGACAGAAGGTCCAAATGATCCCTTTCAACCAGAACTAGAAGGTACTTAAATGCAAGAATATTCTGGACCATATGAAGTTGATCCTGGAATCACAACTGAGATGCTTAAACACAGGAACTCTAAGCTCAAAGAGATTTGGCTGAAATCCAGCTGACGTGATTAAAACTGGGCAAGTGCTGTGCATGCCAGTTCAAGGATTCAAAGGTAGCCTCTGTAGCTAAAGAGCTTTTACTTTGAAATCAGATGCCACGACTAATAAGCACTATGATTAAACTATGTTAAAAAAAAATTAAAAAAGAGTAAAAAGCTACTGAATGTTCATTTAAACAGGAGGCCAGACTAAGAAAAAGAAGATGCTGTGTTTGCAGGTTATTGTTCTCAAAAATTGAACTCACCATGGTATCTAATAGAATAATAATATGAGGAACCATCAAGAAAGTAAAGACAATGTCTTCCAAAACTGGCAAGGGGTAGTTTAATCTGAACCACAGTGTAAAGTGTGAATAATAAAAATAAAAAACTTGGAATATTCCCTTACCTAATCTCTATAAACTAGAAGTAGCCCCAGGAAACCATAAGAGTAAAACCACTTGACCATGTTATTGGTTTTATGAAAAAATGTTCCAGAAAATCCACAACTCAAATCTATACACATTTCCATGGCATAGAGATCCCTTTATGGTCTGTAAAATTTGAGTTTCTCACCATTTTATTTTGCTAAATTTTGAAATAATTGTTACATTACAGGTTTTTTTTTTTTCCCTGATGCAGGTTGTTGAGGTTTTTTGCTTGTTATCAGTTCCATTTGCAATAAATTTTTGAGAACTATTTAGGAAAGGTCATAAATTTAACTACTAGCTGATTCAGTAATCAAGAAGGTAAATAATTCCACCTAAAGTGAATGAAAATTGAAGATCACTAACGAAACATCACTCAAAGCACATTCTGGTTTGTTGTTTGGTCATCCTATTTGTGTAAAGGGAGTTCACATTTATGAGTTTCATCACAGTCTCAAGCTACAGCTCACTGTCCTGAGCCTAACAATTTAAAAACATTCCATATCAAATAAGTAAATACTCTGAAGTCTCATTCAGCATCACGTGTTTAAAGCCCTCAGTCATTTGAACAAGAAATAAATAAAACCACCAGAATATATTGTATTTCTTGCAACTTTGTTTCAAGATGTTATTGATAACACAAAATGTTTGTGGCCTCACTGGTTGTGTAATCTTTATTTCCAGAAGAAAACAAAAGTAAAAAACTGCATAGCACAGCTACAATTTTAACCTGAGAACATCCTGCTCCAATTTTCATTCTGAGCTGAGAAGTACATCAGTTAGGAAGCTGCAAAAATTACTCCAGCACCAGCATATCTCAACAAAGAGCCCTTCCAGCCAAGGATAACCAGATACTTCACACAGTTCACCTACTGTAGTCAGCCTGCTTGTAACAGGACAGAACCAGGTAACAAAATAAGAAGAGAGGAAAGATGAGTCCAGCATTGTCTTCTGGGATGTCTCAGAGAGAAACAAATACAGCTATTGAACATATGCCATTTATTCCACTTAGTCAACATCACACAGGAAAATACTGCAAAAGAGCAGGACTACTGAGGGAGGAAACACAAGCAATTCCTTCAGGCCAGCTGAGATATTCTCCAAATGGGAAGGCAGGGCCCATCCACAAAGTAGGCACTTTCTCTGAATGTTGGGGTTTTTCCAGTTTCAATAATCTGAATAAAATCATATACTGCAACTCATCAATTCCAGGCAACGCTCCATCTGCTTTAGGCTGTCTCAATTGTCCCAGAGCACTCAGGAACCCAAATGGTCTAGAGGAGCCAGAACACATTCCATCAGCCCATGAGCACAAAATAAACTCATTGAACTATTGTATCTGTTTGCAGCTCTGCACAGCTTTCCTCAGAGAGAGAGGAAGCAGCCTGGACCGTGTCCCAGGCTGGGTGGTAAGTCTTTACACTCCCTACTTTAGCCAGGTTTCCATGTGTCACAAGGACATTTCTGTTTTCTGTCAAGGCCAGATGTCTTTTCTTATTTCCTTTATTGTCAATATTTGGGGGAATACCTCTCTTTCCTAGGAACTTGTGCAAGTTTTTTCCTACCTAAAATATTTTTCCTGTGTGAAAAGGCATTTTTCAAGTCCCTAAGTCCTTGTTGTAATCAGGGGTCCCAAAGTTTGGTTTGTGCAAGTGATAATGGAGCCTTATTGCACTGTGATAAAGCCATTCAGTAGTCATACAATGCCATAGCAGCCTTGTTTATGGCTGGTTTTAAGTGTGACTCTTCATTCTGTTGGTCAGATGCAATGGCAGTCTGGAGAAAAGTGATGTATATCAGTAGGCTCTGGTTTTACTTCTAATTAATTTTTGATCCTCTGGTGAGCTGAAGCAGAATGTGCATTTGCTGTTTTAGCTAGGCTGGATTGGACTCCAACATTAGAGATACTGATTTAAAAGAGCAAATTATTTCCTGCATCCATTTTTTTACATGTTTCCATGTGCTGTTGGAAACAACAGGAAAAAATTAAGCATAATTGACTGAGGGTTCACACCTAAAAGTAATTTCTCTATGCCTTCAGCAGCTCTATGCTAACAATTTCAATTTCTCTATGCTATCAGCATCTTCAGTGCTGTTATTCCAAGGACTTAAGTCACCACAACCAATTCAGGTTTGACCACCCTGGCACAAAACTCCTTTAAAGGTCATTGCAAAAGGTGCTAGAAAATTGCAAAGACCATTTGCCTTTCATCTCTTTTCCCATCAATAACAGTGCCTTTCCCTGCCTCACAGGATCAAGTCCTTGCTGAAGAAGTTAATGTACTCTTAAATAGCCATAGCTCTAGCTTCATCCACCCACACTGTGTGCCTTCTGTGTCATGTGCCTGCATGCCTCAGATGAGCACAGGAGTCATAACACCTCCTCACCTCCTGCTGGAACAAGTCCATAGCTTGTTCAACCCCAGAACATAAAAAAGGGAAGCCAAAGTTGAGCACCACTGCTCTGAGTGAGCATCAGCAGCACTCTGTGTTCTCTCCTCACCCTGTATCTTGCTTACTTTAAGCCACACCTTTGAGAAACAAGTATTCAGTGGTTCCATCTATTTTATTCTCTCTTCTTGAAAAGGAAGTATGGGAGCAGGTGACTCTCTTTGAGAGTATTTTTGATAGGCAATTGTCTTCAGGAGCAGCTGACTTGGGTGGGCTGTCTCCAAGATGGGAAAATCCCCAAGACCAGCTCTGGAGAGGCCAGCAGTGCTTACACAGGGAGCAAGACAGCAGCAATGGATATTGCAGAAACTGCACTGGAAAATTCCCCCTCCTTCCCTGAGCATCTGTTCTGCATGTGCTGAACAGATCTTCTTTGTCTCTTGTCCAGCAACATGTGAACGAACTCGAGCTCCCTCCGGGAATGAAAGGATACAAGAGAAGTCAGCATAAAGATTTGTGCTGGAAGGATAAAAGATAACAGCCTGTCAAACTGCAGACCTTTAAAGCTTAACACTTTTTTTCAAATTTGCTCTCACACTGCTATCTACTGCCAAAATATTACAAGTTTGTGACCCCAACTTACATTTACTGCTTCTTATCAAGACATTTCAGATGAAAACAGAGTAGAAAAAGTACAATGTATAAACAGAAAAATTTAATTGGTTAGTTTGTATCATAAAAGACCCTGAGATCTGCTCAGTTTTTATCAATCAGAGCTATGCAAGACAGCCTGTGGACTCAAATATTTCCTTTGGTCACTTCTTTGCAGAAGTGATTTTATTACTTCGCACACATGCAAACTTTCCTCAGCCCCCCCTTCCCCCCCATGCAAAGTTTTCATTCACAGTTTAACCCTGATATATTCAAAATGCCAAGACATCAGATCTTGTGTAGTTGAATGTTCCAGCCACCTAATCATGTAAACTTAATATAATTTAGATGTAGAATCAAAGAGTAATCCAAGATCACTTAAAAAACCACAAACTAAAATGTTTGAGGTTTATTTAGCTCAGGGTGTCCCCACAAAAACACTGTGCAAATTTTCCCAAGTTTCCTGTGACAGAGTTGGCTTCAGTAAAGTACATCTAAGTCAGAGCAAGGCAACCATTGAACAAAAAGAACTTCCACTGACAACTAAAACATATCAGCACAGTATTGTAACAAGATTATGTTGGTTGAAGATCCCATGTCCTTAAAAAGTCCTTAAATAAGATATGTTGTTGGCAGCATTTGTTTATATTGTCCTCCTGGAGTCAGCCTCATGCTTCAAATTTCCAGTGCAGAAAAATTTACCCATTTTCAGATTATAGCACATATTAAAGCATTAGCATTTCCGACTTTGATTTGAGTATTTCACACAGTTTCTGTAAACAGTTTTAATCAGGGGAAGAAAAGTGGCCTGAAAGCTGTTTTTGTCACTCCCTGAAAACAAGGAAGGTAAATGCACATCCTGAGGGCCATGAACCATGTACTGAAGTGGAAATACTCAGCTACTTCACCAAAGAATTGGGAAAACTAATACACATGCCTGACCTGTAAAAATGGTGGCACAAATTTTTAAAATTACCAGCTATTTGAATTAATGAAAAGGCTTGAATATAACTCTAGAGTACAGTTGTATTTAAATGTCTGTCCAGTCACTTCTCAGCTGGCAACTTAACTGAGACAGGTGATACATTTCAGAGCCTGAAAGGCATCTTGCTTCAGTGAAGTGGTGTTTGATTAGATGTAGTGCAAATTATGAGAAGCACTAAAGAAGGAACAGTGAAGACAAAGGGGGAATTTGGGAGAAAGACAACTTGGAGAGATGAGATTGCAAATCAAGGAAGGGCTGCTCCCTCCATGCCCTTATTTCTAGCTGTCTAGCTGCCCCCTCCATTATTTGGCTTCACACACAGGATTTCCATGGGATGGTCCTGGCAAATAAGACTCACTGGTGTTGCTGGGAATCATCCCTCTGCTTGCTCTGTCTGCACCTGGAGCCTGCAGCTGCTGTATGGGAGACTAAAAGGTTGGCTGCTTCTCACACAGATTTTTCCAGCAAAGGTGGGTGTAGGAGAGCAGTCCCAGTTCCTGCAGAACCCCCTGTGTCCCTCCTGGTGCCCCCACAGAGGAGTGCCCAGCACGTCCCTGGGATCTCCTGCATCCTCCATCCCTCAACCTGCCTCTTTCCTCAGTGCACCTCTCTCCTCACAGAGGCCACCCAGGAGCTAACAGGAAAATCTATTAGCTGCTGCTCACCTGGTCTGGATTTTGAAAGGTGAACAAGAGGGTACATTTCCCTTTATGAATCCCCCATGCTTCCCAGCCCCACGGTCTGTTCCATTATTGCATTTCTTGTTGAGTATAGATCCACATTTTGATATTGTGCATGATGGAAACTCTCTTGGCTTTCTGGAATTCATTACAACCTTGATCCACTTCAAGCATACTAGTAAGCATGAAACAATAGAAAGAGTCTTCCAACTGTCACCTTGGATTTGTCATCAAATGTGGAATATTATGGGAAAATTGTCAAGAGGTGAAATAGATACCTTCCAAACTGGCAAAATAAGCAAGGCATCACTTCATCATGTTTAACTAACTCTCAGGTGTCTCCCTACTCCATTTTTACTGACTTGCAGCTAGCAACAGTGATCCTGTCAGAACCTTCATCAAGGGTCAAAACCATTCAACAAAAAATTCCAGTAATTTTGATATTATTACAGTTGCAGATAATATATTTTATCATACTGTGATAAAGCATGGATCTTAGCAGTGTGTATGCCATCCACTTAGCCTGCAGTGCATCTTTCAGTTGTGTGGATGGTTAAGTGTAGCAAATTGTACCAGCTCGCTGAAGTCTACCCAATGGAAGTTCTGTTATACCATCTATGCAAAAATCTGCTTTATTTCAGCTGCAATATGATCAAGACTGCTCTCTGAATACTTGAAACACAGCCATTGGCTCATGGTCTGAAGTAAAATATAGGCATTGCTGTAATTTAAAAAGTGCTAATTAGAATATGTTTCTAAGTTTAATATGTGTTATTTATGATATTAATCTGTGTTGTAATGCAGTAGAGCGTGCATTGGCAGAAACCCAGGACAGAATTTTTGACAACTCCTGAAAAGCTAGAATCACCAAAACGACTTTATCTGCATGATCAGTTAGATAAAATTTGTAATGCAGTAGCCATATAAAAATAGCAAACAATTGATTTAGCAACTATTCCTCATACAATCATTTTTGTTATTAAAAACAAAAGTATAGCTGTGAGCCTTCTTTTGATGGCTATTTTTCTGTGGTATGGAAGCACTAAAATCAACAATCTCCGCCCCTCAGTAATAAAAGTATGGCCCTATGTATCCACATATCAATGCTGTAACATTTGAAGGTTCTGAGTCTTGGCTAAAATGAGTCCATCTGTTGTGCTTCAAGTAAGATATTCGCATAAAACACAGATGCAATAAGAGATGTACACTTGCAGTCTCATGGCTTGGGGTTTAAGTAAAAAAGTTAAACCTTCTGCCTTGAAGAAAAAAATATCTGAGGCAAACCAACGAAGCACAAATGGCTTCATCTTTTGATGTTGCTGGATCAAGCATGCTTTGCTGGCATGTTCAGAATCAAAAGAAACATCCTGATAATGAGACATAGTGTTTTTGTGATCTTTTTTGATTTCCTGTATTAACATTAATGAAATAAAGAAGGCAACATCTGAAGTCTAAGGTCTTCATTTTTGCATAGCACACCAAAAAAATCCTTTGTGGTCAAAAGGAAACTTGAAAAAAGCAGAGACGTTTCTTGTATATCCCTCAGACAATAACCCTATAAACTGGTTTTGTGATATGCAAACCTATTTCTCATTAAGTTTACTGTTCTCTACTTGCTTTCCTCATCTGTTTACTAATGTTCCATTTATGGGAAAAGTCACAATAATGGTCAGGCCATTTACATTGCTCACATCCTAAGAACCTGAAGCTGACATCACACACAGGTGTATACTGACCCATACACAATAGGATTTTCACCTGTTTGTATATTTATGATCCTTCCTTAGAAGAAAGTCTTAACACCACTAACTCCTTGACCTCCTGGAAAAATTGTTTTGGGAAAAAATAAAATCTAACTAGCCATCTGTATCAGATGTGTTTTTCTTTTCCTGAATATCAACAGTGAAAACTGTCTTTCCCTCAAGTAAAGTAGAGTCAGAATGTGACTTTGGCAAGTCCCACTGCTCTGTATATCACCCCTGAACTAATTTCAGAGGAGTCATTATTTCTGGTTTCTGTTCATTCCTGCCATGATGAAAATACAACTGTTCCAATTTTAAGAACAGAAACTAAACACAGCAATTTAAAAACTGTTCCAACTAAATGTTTTTAGAAATGCTGAAAGTTTTCAGTGCACTGAAGCAACTTAGACATGTGCATAACTTTAAAGACAGGATTTGATTGCATTGGTTTAAAACAGAACTATTCCCAAACTGGAATTTTAGGTATATATAAGTTTCCTCTGATGTGAGTCAGAAAAACACCTTCCTTGACTTCAATTTAATAAGATGCAGGAAATATGGGCTTAAGGGTGGTACCTTCCGAGTTGGCCAAAGAAGGCAGCCAGTGCTGGCACAGCAGCATCTCTCATTGTTTAATGAGTTTATCTGTGCTGGAGAAAGAAATCCCTGCTTTGTATGCAGCTTTGAGGAAAAGGGTTCTCAGTGCTACCATGGTCTGGAGGAAGTGTGTGAGCCTCCTGTTAGCCATCCAGGATGTCACAGAAAAAAATGGAGCCGCAGGCAATTTGTCCTGAGCTCTCTTTGAACACACAAGTCAGCAATAACAGGCCCAAAGAACCTGTGATCTCTCCTATGCTGCCAGGAAATTAAACCCACCAGGGCAAAGTTACCCTCTCCAAGCGCATTTCAACGAGTAGAACTATTCTGGGTCAGTTTGATCCATTATAATGCCTACCAACAACATATTTGAGCCTATACTGGGGACCCTAAAATTGGATTTGCCATCTTGTTTAACCATTCCTCATTTTTACTTCTACTTGATCTCCTACACCTATCAGCTTTGAAGTCAGATATGATTCTGAGCAGAGTACAGACTTTGCAACGCCCAAATTGGAAAAAGAAATCCTCTTGAATTTGTTTTATGATTATGTAAATTATGCCCACATGGGTTTATCTATTCTTATGAAACAGAGATATGAGAACAGAGGCCAGTTACTACTGCCTCACTAAGCTTAAAAACTAGCCAAAGTACTTCGAGAGAATTTGCAAATTTTTCATGTTATGCTCTCTAAGAAAAGTATTTTTCACTTAGGTATTAAATAGTTACAGTAGTAACAAATGTTATATGGACACTGACTGGACCACAGCATGTTGAAAAAAGAGCATCTCTCTTCATACTTCCAGTTTAGTTACTTCATCCTTCCTATTAAAGTCTTATTTTTGAGTATCTAATTTCTCAAAGCTCATGCCTGCATAAACATTTCAGCTTCTTATTAATATAGCTGAGCTTATTTCTTTTTATCTTAATATATTCAGTACCTCAGAAGGCGCCACAGCTGGAATGCAGCTCTTGGATGTGATCTTAAGTGCTTCAAAGGCAACGAGAGAGGTCAGCATGCCTGAAAGAAAAGATATCGCCACTGTCAAGGACCAAAGAGATTGTGACAAGATGGGAATACAAAAGTTAATATAGAAAACCAGGGACAGAACCATAGAGGTTCCAGTGGCAGGACAGTTAAAATTCTTTGCTTTTCAAAAAAAGAATCACGGAGCATATTCAAAAACCAGAAAAAGCCTTCCCAAGAGGCAAATGAAGTCTGATAATTCACTGCAAGGCTTGAGCAAAGAGATTCCTTGCAGAAATACAAAGCAGCTTAGGTAAAATAAAAGCACCTTGAAAATCAATATTTTTTCTGAGAAATATCCCAGACCTTTTTTGTGAAGCTAAAACATCAGGTTTTGGCATATTTGAATAGTTAATTGGGCTGCTGGTGTGTGTGTATTCAGCCACTTTGGAAGTAGTGAAGCACCATAGGAAAATGCTTCTTGCAAAAGAAACGTAAGGCATCAGTCTTTTGAAAGTAGTATTAGTAAAGCAGTGTAAATGAAATTAGCATTTGGCCCCAGTTGGCTCAGAGGAAACAAAATTCTAAACTTATTAAGAAAGTTCAAAGGAAATATGGAAAGGAAATGTCTAATGAAAAGGAATGTTTATATGGAGTTTCAAGTAGTTTGTGTCCATATACAAATATTTGTTCAGGGATTACTGTTAATAAAAATTCTTCTTATGGAGTTCAGCCTTCATAACATTTTTCAATTTTCTTAAAGTTAGTCACATCCAGAAAAACAAGCATTCCAGATGTTTTTATGATGCAGACAGACATCTTACAGGTAAGATCACCTCATCAATTTCAGTTCTGTATGTTGTGAGCTTCATTGCTCTTCTCCCAGTCATTTCCCTATACACAAGTTGAGCACCTTCCAGGTAAATAGTAAAAAGCAATGAAGAAGATATCAAATTTCACACATTAATATTTTATATAGTCTAAATAACCATGTACTCACACATAAACTCACCATCCCTAGCATGCAACAAAATTTCACATACCTCTGTGAAAACATTGTGTAAAAAATGCTGAATTTGATAAGCAAGTGCAAAGACAGGCTGACAAAGATTTGTCAAGGACAGACAAGACAGAAGAATCATTTTGTCACTGAGTGAATCAAGGGAACATCAGTCATGGGGACTTAGCACGTGCAGGAACCTGCAACTGGTACCAGCACTAATTCAGCAATTGCAGCAATAGATTCCTTGGGTTAGAGACCTCAGTAGCAACATAAAAATCTAAATTTAAAAAATCTCTTTTATAACAGGTATTATTAGTTATCAAATACTATTTTTTGGGGGGAGGTCCTTCTCCATTAGTGATGCATTGGTGCTAAAGCACTGCAACCCACAATCCAGATGCAGAACACATCCAAAGTTTCCATCAAGGCACTTGGCCTCATGAAAAATCAATATTTGCTTCTTACATGATGAATCAAGAGCTACTGAATGGACACCCTTGTTTTACCCTCTATCCTCTCTCCTTCTAAGGGAGGGTAACTGAAGTCTGAGCAAATCACCGACACAGTCAGGTGGTGAATGAAGACAGCAAAGCCCACCACAGAAAATACAGATATTACCAGCAATGGTTGCTCAGCCTCACTGCTGCTTGTAGAGGGTGGGAACTATTGGAACTGGCACAGAACCATCAGAACAGAGGAAACCTGGAAACAGCTCCATAAGCAACCTTTTGTGAGGCCTTGCAGATCTCCCTCCTGCAAGCAATTTCTATGAGCAGAACGTTCCAAGTGCTGCAAATTCCCGGGCCAGGTCCTTCTGAATGTATGACTGCTAAAATGAATCTGATTTTTTCACCATAGCCCATTTAATTTCTTTTCTTCTTCTTCAGATCTGAACCTCAAGATAACAAGAAACTGCAAATGCCAATTTTCATTTATGCCAGAGACAGAACCTTTCCTTCAACATATCTTGACTTGTGTTCTTTTAAAAAAACAGCTCTAAAGACTGAGGGTTGAAAACCAGTTTACTAAAAGTCATAAAATTTAGCATCGAAATTGCAAGGGTTCCTAATCCTTGTTTTCAACAAATTTGGACAAACCCATTTAGGTTTGATATTACAGTGCTTACAGGTTAAATTTTACAGATTTTCACATGCTCTTGAAAAAAATTTCCGTTATTAATTTTATTTCAGTTAATTGCAACTTTGAAGTCTATATTAATTTGGGAGGGCCAGAGAGTAAAATTCCTCCAAGCCTCTAGTTCTCACAGTGAGAATCAAAGCATCTATGCCTTTTCCTGACTGACATCAGAAAATGTCTGGCTCTTACATTACAATTACTGTCATAGTTTTGAAGGCAGTGTTTGTAAATAAGACAGACTGCTGCAAACAAATTCATATTTTCTAGTTGCAGGCATCACCGTAATTTCATAAAAAGAAGAGCAGAGTGCTTTCTAGCACAACAGTGGAGCAAAGGTTGAATAACAGATGGCCAAATTCCTCTACCAGTTCATTTAAAATAATATTTTTGCAGCATTTCAGCTTAGCTTGTTGACTTTACACTTGAGTATTGATCACAGTTGATTGCACTTAGTTCATAGTAGGTTGATCATATCCTGCACTCAGGCTGTCCCTCTGCAGTGCAACACACAGAACAATAATCCACTTGAATTGATGAGTCCTTTGTAAATGAAGCCAAACCACAAGATCAGAACCCTGTGATTGCATAGAAGGGCAACGAGTGACATGGGTTATTTACTGATTGATACTTCCCTATAGTAATAACACAGCTTCTATTGGAAAACATCTGGAAACATTACAGTACAATAGTTCTTTTAAAATAATGAGGTCTATCAATCATTTGTATGACCAATGAATGTGAAAGATTTTCATGTTGTCCATAAAACAACCAGAACTGAAGCTGCTCATTCATGACTGGTGATTTTGCTTTGGCCAGGACAAACAGGTATCTGCAGAGCAGCTGCTGTAATCATAACAGAGAGAATCTTCTCCAAATGGAAGCATGTGCCAAGACTAGGAAGTGCACAATGTGGAAAATAGCTCACCAAAGAAGAGAACAAAGCCACAACTACAAAGGTAAATAAGTCAAAGAGACTTAGCTCAGTAAGATTTACAGATCTTGAGCATGACTTCAACCCTAAATGCTAACAAAAATCAGTCATTGGTTGTTTAATTATTTTCTTTTTAGTTATGCCACTTCAAAGAATACAGGTAAGCCACGGTATTATTAATTCTCTCTCCACATAAACCAGGTAATAGTAATGTGTAAGAAGGAAATGTTGCCATATAAGATAAGTAAAGACAGACCTGGAATAATAGAAGTGGAATTCAGCTTTTTAAGAACCTACTGCTCAGCAGAGGCAGTGAGATTTCAGTAAAACAAGCCCAAATACTTGCACTATTCATTATAGTAATGCTTCATTCTGCAAAGAGAAGGCAACAGATCTATCAAGTCCTGCCAGCTGTTTCTGCTCTCCACTGCTGCTGAACTGGTCAGCCTCACACCTCCTGCTCACATTGCAGTGCATCCTGGTGAGCCTGAGCAGGGCAAGAATGAGAAGCTAGGGAAAGGGAGGAGAGGAGGAAATGGAGCAGATAACAAGGGGGAGAAAATGACAGTGAGAAATTCTTACAGTTGCAGAAAGGGACAGAAAAATTAGAGTCTGATGTGGCTCTGCATTGCTTGGGGCAGATCAAATACACCTAGGTTTTTAGTTGGAGAATTTTCCAATGTCTGCCAAAAATATGGGATTCAATCTCAGATGTCACAAATTAGACCCCTTATCCAAACTACTCAGACCTGTGCAACATTAGAAACTTCTACTGATATGAAGGCATCAAATCAAAGGTCTGGATTTCCCTTGCATCTCCTACCAAGTGCAATTATTCCAAATTGCTGGGATTAAACATATGTGGAAAAGCAGTTACTTGGATCCAAAATATGGTCAGCTGCCTCTTTCCATAAATTTTTCCAGGCAAACTGAAATATGGGAAGTATTTCTTGTTTACTACCCAAAATACTATTTCAAGACATCCTTTCACCTAGAACCTTGAGTTTAGGCAACTTTTAAGTTTGGTTCGGAGTCCTTTACTACTTCATTATTATTTCCTCTACTGTTCTGCCTCGACTTTCTCATTAGCTTTCCTTTTCTTTGTCTGGGTATGGAGAAAACAATTGATTGTCCAGAGTAATCAAAGCTACATGAGAAATGCACTGACTTCTATCAAGCTCCAATCCACCATTTCAGCAACATTTTTGTAACACTATATTGCTCACTATTCCAATAATTTAGTCTCTCCTATCAAAAAGCTTTGTGGAAGAAAATGATAGAGTTTGATAGAACAGTGCAAATTACAAATGCCGAGCAAAAATGTACAGAGCACAGAATACTGCCAGGCATGCAGAAGACCAAGAGCACTAAGAGTGAACAATGTCTGTTCATCAATTTCTCTATTTTTTCACCCAGTTTTGGGGGAAAGAGAGATCTGCCATCAGCCATTTATATCAATAATATATAACATTATCACAAACAATAGGAGTTTGTAAAAGGAGGGTTGGTAATGAATCTGTTTCTTAAGCAGGCAACTGCCTATACAAGTACATGCACTACAAACCAGTACTTTAAAAGTAGCTATTTATAAGCAGAGAGATTAATTAGGTTAAATTTTCACATACATTATGAGAGAGTTTCCCAAACCCAGACTGAGGAAAGGGGTGAATGCTGAGTCTGAGGCCAGATGGAATATTGCCCTTTCGGATCAGTGCAAAAAAAAAGTGTCTTTTGCCATATAAATAGACAGGGAAAAAGAAAGCAAGCCTAATTATACCAACCTTTCTAAGAAACATTTCCAAAAATACTCATTGGCCTTATCCGGAGTGGAAAGTTTCAGAGGGAGAACCAGAGGTGTTTTATTTTAGCTTGGCATAAGTAGGGAAATTATTAGCAATGATTTCTAAGTGCAAATGCAGCTGCTTCTCAAACACATAGTTAAAGGGTTTTGCATAAAGCCATAAACCCTCAGAGAGACTCATA